TACAGTATGATACATGCATTAAATTAAGTTATTATTTCCATTATCAACCCGACAGACCAGTCACAGGACGCGTCATCGGCCTACGTGAGTAAAATGACGTATGCAGCAGTCAACATGGGGACTCCTATCATAACAGTAGCAGTGTGGTTTCACAGGGGCAGTTGACTGCTTAAAACAAACTTTACACAAAACTTTTACTCTTAAAACCCACATATCACTGCACTGAACCATCAACATCTTGCCTTGAATTGCATTAAAAGTGAGATCCGTGTCTTAATTCGTTTGTATTTTAACTTTAAAAGCAATTCACGGACTTCATGTCCGGCATCTTGGTTTGCTTTGGCCGCCGTAAGACGCACATGCGCAGGTTTGCCTTACATCATTAACAGCTGAGGGAGCTCATCTCGACGGGCAGACCAACTCGATAGAACACCGGTACCTCTGTAGTAGCACTTATTCAGTCACAGGTGAAGACATACTGTATGTTCACAAGCACTGAGTCCCCCATCCTCAGCCATGATTTAATCCTGGTTTAGCTCCTGTTTTGGTTGTTTTCGAGCAGGCCCGGACTGGCCACCGGGAGCATCGGGAGATCTCCCGGTGGCCTGCGTGTCAAAGTGGCCTGGGCCTGCCCTATCATCACGGTCTTTTTTTTTTTTTTTATTTAATTTCATCCTCACGGTCTTTGCAAACTCCTACCCTGCCTGGTGGCCTGGTCCAATGAGCAAGGCCCAGGCCAAAGCCAGTGTTGTGCGTGAACGAGTTCAAAAGAACGCGTTCATTGAACACGCTCATTTTTTCGTGAACGTTGAACTGAACGCAACACATTTTTTAATAATGAAAAAGTTTATATTATGTGTCATGAACGGCAGACAATTTGTTTTCCATTTAAAACTGAGTGAAATCTGTTTTCTCTGTTGAAACGCAACAAGAGAAAGTTCCTCCCTCATGTATTCTCCGCACTGTTTCCGCCGAAAACTAAAAATTCCTACGGTTTCCACCGTCTGTGAACGCACCCCGACTCAGTGTACTTGCGGTGCGGCGCTGTGAGCTGGTGCTATTCATTGGTTGTTGGACTCACATGTGCCGTGATGAAAACACAGGGGTAAGTCAGTGACACAGGGCCGTTTACATTTGACATAAAGTATAGACACACGTTCTGCAGCGCATTACAGTTTGTACTTATGAGCAGAGATGGGACAACTCAGTTCCCATTGAAACCCATGTAAATCTTGTCTGCATTGGAGTCAAAACATCCTGTGCAGTGTACAGGATATAATATATAATTATATATTATATATATATATATCACGTATTGTGATTTCTAGCTCGTAGTGAAAAAATATATTTATTTGAATATCTCGCAAAAAGTTAAATGAACTGAACTTTGAACTAGTTCAGAATTAAAATTGAGAACTTCGAACGTGAACTGTTCACTTTGAGCATGTATGAACTGAACTTGAACTAGTTCAGAAAAGCTGTGAACTGGCACAACACTGGCCAAAGCTTTACTGTCATTGGGCCAGAGCAAAATTAAACAAATGTGACGGCACACGTCGGCTACACAGCCAGGCCTAGCAGTGCACCCAGTGTAGCCTCCCCGGTTGAAATGAGTGGTTCATACACGTTTTTATTTTTCCTTTTATATGAGCTGTAACGATGTGATTTTACCTTACTACTTTTTTAACAATAATTGATTAGCTTGTTATAGTTATACACTAATGAACACTTAGTTCATTGTGTGTGTGTGTGTGTCTTTATTCTCACTAAACTCCATAAACGTTACGTTGCTAAGCAACGTACAACAATCCTTAAACGTCCGAGATTATATAAACAGTAAATATAAAAAAAAATAAAGAAAACAAAAGTTTTGACAGTCAATCTTAAAACTATTAAAAGAACATCAAAATACAATGACAAAAACCCAAATTTAGAACCTTGTTTGGCCTGAATGGATGAAAAGCTCCCGGCCTGAAATGTTGTCCCACTCCGGCCCTGTTTTCGAGCGTGAGTCCCGTGACCACTTTGCTGCTCTTTGATGTGGAGTGAGCATGTTCGATCCATGCTTCCTTTGTTGTTGTTTTGGCGCATATTGTGATGGGCGAAAACACAACTCAGTTTATCTCTGTCTACATGCAAATGCATAAACTGAGTTTTCAAAAATCTTCACTTTGCCCGGAGTTTTTTATTAGTTTATGAGGCAAACGAAGAAAACTATCTCCAGTTTAGCAGATACCCGGCTACGTGTGGAGAGGGCCTTAAGCCTAGTGTACACTCGCGCGGCGCTGGTTATGGTTGCGTTGGACCTATGCAGCCACAGTTGCTGGTACACTCGCGCGTTCCCCTTGCAGAGTTTTGAAGAGGATGTTGTAATCCCACACCCAACCACATGATGGCAGTCTCACAGGAGTTGCCTGAGAAACCAAAGCGGTCCCATTTACGCTGCTACTTTCCCCTCTTCAGAACAAAAACATTAGCAAACCAAACTGTTTGAGATCATTACATGTGTATCTAGTGTAGGCTTATGTGATAGTTCCATGGACTCATTATTTCAAAAGTCATTTAAACTGTGATGCTGTGAATAAAGACACAGTTCTTGTTGGAAACAAAGTTATTATTAGATTTTATTCAGCACAAGCAGCAAAACAATAAGTGGTAAATATCTGAGACCAAACAAGAACGATTTACAAGTGCAGGAGGAATACAAATTCAAACAAAGACAGGCGCAGGAACAGTGCAAAAGTAAGTAAGTAAGTAAGTAAAATGTATATATAAAGCAAAAGAAACGACTGTACAGTTTATAAGTTGGATATGCAACAGAACTGAACAGTCCAGTCTCCGCGTATATCCATGAACCCAATACTACTTTTCCTTTAGTTCCTTCGAAGTACGAAGCTATCTGGTCCGAAGTGCCTCGTCCATGTTCCCTGCAGCCGGTCCATGCTTCCGTCCAAAACACACAGACCAATCACAGTGGAGCTCTCTGCGGAGCCGGCTGCGTAGTTAGAAATTGAGGGTGCCCAGGTCTTGCGGTGAATCTTGCGTTGCGCAAGTGACATCACGACACCACCGTAAGCTCTGCACCACGCGACTATACACTACACTCAAGACTCCATTCTCCTGAGGCATCTGGTTCCTGTGACCTCAAACGCAACTAAATCTGTGCCCTTTACGACCCTGTGTGGAGCTAGACAATACATATGATGGGTTAATATATCAAATGAATATAGTTAATATTTGCTCAATAGTTTATGTTCATGTGACATAAGCACGCCACGAGCCTATACTTTCACAATGTGGTGGAGAGTAGCTGATACATCTCACATGGTAACTATTGTAACTCTCAAAAGTCAGATCCTAATCTTAGTTTGGACCCAATTTCTCTATTTCCTGGGACAATCCACCTGAAACAAAAACTCACAAAGTGTCACACTTTCTTTGTCAGCACATATCAATTATTGTTGATTTTTCTTACTGGTCTATCTCAACTTTGGTCTAATTATCTCCTAAATGTGTATAGAATTGGTGACAATATTCAAAAACATATACATCCTGCTCCTCCCCGTGGCTACACCACCTCTGCTGCTGCTGACCCTACATGTAACGCTAAAGTCCTGTAGCAGCACTGTTGTTATTAACTTTTAGAATGATGAATTTATTTGTTTTGTATGGATGGATGGACGGTTAAGTTTCTGCTCATGGACACCTATATTTCTCCTATGGGATCAATCTATCTATATTTGGCCAATAGAAAGTACTTTCATACATCAGAATAATATGGCAACTTTGTAAATCTAATCACTATCCATACTGTGAAACAGCAAGAATGTAGGAAAGCCAAGCCGAGAAGTGCGCCCCTAGTGTTAGGTTTCGTTTTTGCATGTTAGTGTCACTTTCGTTTCTGAGCACGTATGCTATTAATAGAGCAACCACGGCAGCTAGATGCTTTTTTCAGAGTATTAAGGACTCAATAACGTTGTTCCCTGTGTGTCAGTGTGCGTGAATGATCAAAAAGTAAGTGCAATGTGTGATTTGTTGACCAATGTGCCTGTTATAACCATATGTCCGTGTTTAGACTTAACACGTGTTTTCTTCAGTCTCATTTAGCATGAGTAATGTGACGTACATTTGTGAAGTAGAGTTCTAATGTTAATTGCCCTGCTAATTCATAGTTTAAAGTTATTTCTATTTTAGTATATTGTTATTTTACGTGAATTGTGTAGTTGACTGCCTGCCGCTGCGTCTCGCACCAAATTAAAGGTCATGTCTGTAACTTTTGGGAGCACTCAAATAAGTGCTGTTAATTTGCTCTTATAGCATTGCAGTGTCAATTTAGAGCTGTTATGTGTATGTTATGTATTATAATATATGTCTTGTAGTTATGTACAGTGTACAGTTTGTACATTTATTCATTATATTTTTTGTCTGTTCTTTGTTGCAGACCACACACACACACACACGTTACATAATTGTAACACACCGTGAATGTGTTAATAAACCAACGACTGAGAAATATCCCCCCTCTGGACCCTGATTCTCTGACCGGAATCTTTCCATACTGTTGCCGCCTCAACCAGTGTATATCCCTTAGTGGGCCAGTTAAAATATTGAGCCTCCACTTCATTTGGTCCTTCGAGCCGGATTGAGTGCACCCCCCACCGCACAGTATGGAAGCTGCAGATGCCCCAGAGCTCCAGGAAAGACCACAGAGAGAACGCCGTCTCCCTACGTATCTACTTGATTATTATGTTGGATACCCTCCACGACCCAACCATCCTAAAGCCGCTTCAACCAGTTCCTGCTCAAGCTCTAGCAGTAAACACAGAAGCCAATCTAGGAGATCCGGTAGTGGCTCTTTCCGCAGCATAGGCAGATCAAGTAGAGGTCATTTCCCGAACATAGAGTTCAACTCAACGCAGTCTGCTCTTCTGGAGGAAGGGTTGAGTCAAATCGAGCTTGATGACCTTAGACAAGAACTAGCTGAGGACACTCAAGCAGATATGGAGTATCAGCGCTTACAGCTCCAGGCTAAGGAGGCGCAGCGCGCACAGGAAGAAGCACTACTTGCTAAGGAGACTCTTCATAAACAACTGGACAGGAATCGTCGCCTGCAGGAAGCCCAGAGAAGGGTGAGAATGGCTAAACTGGTCTCCTCAGTCCTAAACACAGATGCGCAGGCTGTTTCACCAGAGCCCTCATTAACTCCTGAAGGCTACCTCCAGCTACCAGTATCCACACCATCTGCTAGTAGCACAAGACCATCAGTTGTTATGGATACTATTTCCACTGCACATGCAGCTCAGCCACCTTCTGTGCCAAGACAACCCACACCTGTGCCAGACAACGCTCCGAGCCTTCTTCAAGCCACGCAGCCAACGCAGTATGTACCTCCTATCCACACACAGAGCACGGATACACTCATGATGCAGTCGCACTCGGACAATCATGCAGCTCAGCTTCCTCCTGCGGTTATGACTACACAATCTAATGTCGCACCCATAATGACCTCCGCCTTGTCTCCACCGATGTATGGCCAGCCTTTACCGCCTGCACTACAGACACTGCCAGTCCAAGGTCAACCAGCGGTCTCCCAGCCATTCTATCCATCATTTCAGCCCCGTGATCTTCCACCATTTGGATCAGATATGCTGATTGCTTCCACTTACGGTATTCCCAGGCCTACTCTGCCTTATTTTGAGAGTGGACGTGAAAGCGACTTTGCCCTGCTGAAGATGGCACTCGACAACCTCCTGAGTACCCACACTCACCTCAGTGAACAGTATAAGTATCAGGTACTACTCGGCCAGCTGACGCACGCTAGCGCACTCCAACTTGCTAAAGCTCACATGTACCACCCACAGCCCTACACCACGGCCTTGAAAGCTCTTCAAGACAAGTACGGCCAACCACGGCAGCTCGTTCAATCTGAACTGGGTACAATATTGAGCATGCCAGCTTTCAAACCAGGAGACTTTGCTGCATTCGACTCCTTCACCCTGGCGGTGCAGTCATTGGTTGGAATGCTAAGGTCACTTGAGGGTCATAACAGTTACGAGCTGATGTGTGGCTCTCACGTCGATCGCCTGCTGAGCAAGATGCCGCCACACCTCCGTGACAGCTTTGTGGAATACTGCCTGACCCGTGGTATCCTTCAGACAGGTACTAACAAAACATACACTCTTGCAAGATGGCGCCGGGTCAGGGCGCCTCAGTAAGAGCTCTGGTGTGCACTGTCTGTTCTATGTTGTTTTTCGTCTGTGATACACTTGCCACCGTGAAGTACGACCGGGAGACACTTCTTTACATTCGGGACCAAGCTTGTGGAGTATCGCAGGTCTTACCCGAACTGAGGTGCTTGGACTTTATTGAGTGCCCCACTCGTGAGGCCCGTCAAACAGGGCAGGCGGGCCGCGGCAATGGCCGCGAACAGAGCGGGGGGACTGGGCGTCTCCATCGTGCTCTCCGCGGTGTGGAGCAGGGTACCGGGAGCCGACGCAGGAGGCGCAGACACCGGGGAAAACGAGGCGGTCTGCTCGTTCGTAGCCGCTCCTCCAGGACCCCTTTGCCCTCCATCTACCTGGCCAACGTCCAGTCTCTGCCCAACAAGACGGACGAGCTTCTGTGTCGGGTCCAGAGCCAGCGAGAGGCCCGAGACTGCGCTGTGTTCTGCCTCAGCGAGACGTGGCTCCATCCAGGCGTCCCGGACTCTGCTGTTCAGCCCCCGGGATTCACCGTTCTCCGCGCGGACAGAGAAAAGGAGACCACGGGGAAATCCAGAGGTGGAGGTGTGTGCTTTTTAATTAATCAGCGCTGGTGCACGGACACTCGCATCGTGAACCAAACATGTACTGCAAATCTGGAATGCCTGGTCTTGAGCTGTCGCCCTTTTTATCTTCCGCGGGAGTTTTCTGTGATATTTCTATGCGCTGTTTACATCCACCCACGAGCGGACTATACTGTAGCACTACAGGATCTGAGCGAGATCCTTCATAAATACGAGACTGCTCATCCTAATGCAGTGATTATTGTCGCTGGGGATTTTAACAAATGTAATTTAAAGACTGTACTCCCAAATTTCTACCAACATGTGACTCGAGCTACAAGAGGAGCACATGTTCTGGATCACTGCTACAGCAATGTGAAGGGAGCTTACAGGTCCAGTCTCAGACCTCCATTTGGAAAGTCCGATCACTCCTCTGTTCTCCTTCTTCCCTCATACTCTCAGAGGAGCAGGGAACATAAACCAACCTCACGCACTGTGCAGTGTTGGTCCGAGGAGGCTAGCATGAAGCTACAAGGGTGTTTTGATGCCACTGACTGGTCTGTGTTTCAATCAGAGGATGTTAATGAATTCTGTGACGCTGTGTCTGGATACATACGCTTCTGTATTGACTGCTGTGTCCCACAGAAGGTCATTAAAGTACATCTCAGTCAAAACCCTTGGATGAATGCGGAAGTGAAACAAAAACTTCATGAGCGTGCTCTGGCGTTTCAATCTAACGATACAGTTGCCTATAAGCTATCCTGTTATGCATTGAAACGTTCTATTAAATCTGCAAAGCGCAGTTATGGGGACAAGTTAAAGGGTTATTTTAAGGAAGATGACCCTCGGCGCATGTGGAGCGGTATTAAAGCCATCACGTCCTGGAAACCTAGTGCCGGGAAAATCGGATCTGTTGGCCCAGCTCTGCCTAATGAGCTGAACACGTTCTACTGCCGCTTCGAATCTGCCGATGCCTGTCCTACTGTCTTTCCTGATTGCCTCAATCAAGGTGCGTTCACCGTGACTCAGGAGGAAGTCAGGCGTGTCTTGTCCAGCACCATTGTCCGGAAAGCCCTTGGCCCGGACGGCATCCCTCCTCGTGTCCTGAAACTGTGCTCTGAGCAACTTGCTCCTGTGCTAACAGACATTTTTAACCTGTCGCTAAGGAACTATACTGTGCCGAACTGCTTTAAAGAGTCGACCATTATCCCAGTTCCTAAGAAAACTCCTGTGACATGCCTTACTGACTATCGCCCTGTGGCCCTCACTTCTGTCCTAATGAAGACTTTCGAGCGGCTTGTGCTGGACTTCATTAAGAGCCAGATCCCTGTGAGTGTTGACCCGCTCCAGTTTGCTTACAGACAGAACAGGAGTGTGGAGGATGCCATCTCCTTTGCTCTGAACTCTGTCTACAGTCACTTGGACAATAGGAAATCTGTTGCAAGAATGCTGTTCATTGATTATAGCTCTGCTTTTAATTGTCTTGTCCCAGGTAAACTGATTGAAAAGCTCATGTCTCTGGGTTTAAGTGTTGCCATGTGTAAATGGATCTATAGCTTTTTAACTGACAGATCTCAGAGAGTGAAAATCAATGACTGTTTTTCAGATGTTGTTTCTGTGAGCACTGGATCTCCTCAGGGATGTATTTTGAGTCCTTTACTTTTTACACTGTACACTCATGATTGTGTGTCTTCCTCAGACTCTAACCTGATCATCAAATATGCTGATGACACCACCATCATCGGTCTCATCAGTAATAACGATGAATCCTCTTATAGAGCCGAGATCCAAAACGTGGTTCAGTGGAGTAAGGCTAACAACCTCCAGCTGAACGCATCCAAAACATGCGAACTGGTCTTTGATTTCAGTCGCAACAGTTCTCATTTGCCTGTCGCAATCGATAACTCCCAAGTGCAGATTGTAGAGGAGTGTAAGTTTCTGGGTCTAACTCTGTCTGATGACCTGAAATGGGTTAAAAACACTGACCGAGTCGTAAAGAAAGCTCGTCAGCGTCTCTACTTCCTGCGGAAACTTAGAGAATTTACCACTAACTCTAAGATTCTGTTGAACTTTTATCGCTGCACCATTGAGAGTTTGCTTGTTGGTTCTGTGTCTGTGTGGTTCGGTAACATCACAGATAAAGAAAAGAGAGCTTTAAACAAGGTGCTCCGCTCTGCAGAGAGGACCGTGGGCTGCGAGCTTCCTGTTCTGGAGGTTCTTTATCAATCCAGACTTTTTAACAGTGCCCTGAGAATTATCAGAGACTCTTCTGGCCACCCAGGAAAAGCCTTGTTCCAGCTTCTTCCCTCTGGCAGAAGATACTGTTCTCTGAGATGCAGGACATCTCGTCATGCTAACAGTTTTTTTCCACGAGCTGTTAACAGTTTGAATAGAGCACTTTAATGTTTTGCACTCGTATAGATCTGTTTTAAGTTGGTCAACTTCACGGTGACATTTGTTGTGACATTTGTTTACTGTTTTTAAAATTTGTTTTGTTTTTGTCTTTTAGTGTTGTTTTGTGTCTGTACTTGTCCTGTGCACACGGGGAACTTTTACAAATATATTCCAATGTGGTGTATACATACTGCAAATGGCGAATAAAATGAATCTGAATCTGAATCCTGATCTAGCAGCTTGGTTGCAGGTTAAGTCTCAAGCCAAACAGATCTCAAGTCGCGCAGCATCACCGTTCACTGCTGAAATCCACAAGCCGATGAAGACTTACAGGAGTGCGCAGCAAAGGGACAAGGTTACTCCAGTTCTGCTAACACTTGATAGTAAGCCATCTGCCTCAACTCCATCTAAAGCCCAACCTAACTCCAAGCCCAAGCCATATTGTCCATGGTGTGATAACACAGAGCATTATCTTAACTTCTGCAATGACTTTAAGAAACTTCATGTAAACGAGATCATAAAGTGGATCACAGATGGCAAACGATGTTGGAGATGCGGTCGAAATCATGCTGCTGACACCTGTACTCTGAAGCGCCCCTGCAAAGTCTGTAAAGAGACACACCTCACCATTCTCCATGAATCAGTTCAAGCCACTTCTGGGGCTTTCCTCATGGTCAATATCCCCTCCACTCAAATCTACTTTGACCGTCCTAACCGATCACAGCACGTCATGCTGAAAGTAGTGAGTGTCCTAGTCCACAATGGAAATCGATCAATGCAAGCGTATGCCATACTGGATGATGGATCAGAAAGAACTGTTATTCTCCCCCCAGTTGTGCAATATCTGAACTTCAAGGGTGATTCCGAGACCCTGGCTCTCCGGACAGTGCATCGAAAAGTTGAACACATTGCTGGCTCATCTATCTCCTTTGAGATTTCTCCCATTGAGAACCCCTCTGAGAGGTACCACATTCGCAATGCCTTCTCAGCCCAAGAGCTCAGCCTCGCTGATGTGTCTTACCCCGTACATGCTCTCCAGCAGCGTTATCAGCACCTTAAGGGTCTTCCACTACGCCCGTTGAGTAATGTACAGCCACTCATTCTGATAGGGTCTGACGCACCTCACCTGCTCACCCCTATTCAGCCCATATGCAAAGGACCCCAAGGTGGACCAATCGCCGTCTGCACGCTCCTTGGATGGACACTGCAGGGCCCCATGAGTCCTTTCCAAAGTTCTCGCAAGGAACAACAGTGTCTACATCTTGCCCTAACTGAAGATCGACAGCAGGAGTTAGTCAACAATGAGGAGCGCTTGTTGAAACTAGACGTTCTCCCCCCGAGCGAGAAAGCGCACACCAGGTCCAAACAAGATCAACAAGCATACAATCTTCCACAATGCGCAACCACCAGAGTTGATGTGCAAGGAGTGCAACACAACACCACTCCATTGCTTCGCTGTGGTCCAGATGTTCAGCTTCAGGAATCTGCATTCATTGAAGCGATTATTACCGACTCTCCAGCCCCCGATGCTTCCCAGCTTCTGTCACGGGATGCCCTCGTCCAAGCCACTATGGGGGTTGTCAACGGGGCGGCTAACCCAAGCAGCGACAAGTCTAATGATGTTTTCCATGCAGAGAAGATAATACTTGCTCAGTCTCAGTTGGACTCGTTTCCTGAAGAGCTACTTCATCCAGGCCCTGAGAGAGTCTTGATTAAGAGGAGACGTCAGTATTTGGTGCTCACAGGCAGGGAAGCTCTCAGAAAGCTCCAGCACTCCTGCCATGAGCGTCAACACTGGCGTGCAAAGCCCACCATCTCGAAGACATCCGACTTTCCACACAACCGTTTACGCCAGCACAAGCATCCATTCTATTCCACTGGAGTGGGACTGTTTTGGTCCGTTCTCTGTCAAGATCGGTCGGCGTAAAAGGAGGAGATGGAGACATTGTCAGATCTCGGCGGACAGCTTTTGGACAGCTTTCATCTGGAACTACCTTCCGAGTCTCCAAGAACGTCAGAAGTGGAGAACTGACACAAAGGAACTGGACACAGGCCAAGTTGTCCTCATCGTTGACCCACAGCTGCCGCGGGCTCTCTGGCCAGTGGGCTCCGTGACAGAGACGTTCAGAGGATCCGACGGACGCGTCCGGACTGCATCAGTGAAGGTCAACGAAAAGACTTACACTCGACCCGTTGCTCGGCTGATCTCCTTGCCGAAGATTGAAGAAGATGACCAGGACCCCACTGCTTGTCTTTCTAAATAGTTACAAATGTCATTGCTGACATTTGGGGGCGGCTGTGTAGGAAAGCCAAGCCGAGAAGTGCGCCCTTAGTGTTAGGTTTCGTTTTTGCATGTTAGTGTCACTTTCGTTTCTGAGCACGTATGCTATTAATAGAGCAACCACGGCAGCTAGATGCGCTGCAGAGACCTTTTTTCAGAGTATTAAGGACTCATTAACGTTGTTCCCTGTGTGTCAGTGTGCGTGAATGATCAAAAAGTAAGTGCAATGTGTGATTTGTTGACCAATGTGCCTGTTATAACCATATGTCCGTGTTTAGACTTAACACGTGTTTTCTTCAGTCTCATTTAGCATGAGTAATGTGACGTACATTTGTGAAGTAGAGTTCTAATGTTAATTGCCCTGCTAATTCATAGTTTAAAGTTATTTCTATTTTAGTATATTGTTATTTTACGTGAATTGTGTAGTTGACTGCCTGCCGCTGCGTCTCGCACCAAATTATTTGAGTGCTCCCAAATTATTTGGGCGCACTCAAATAAGTGCTGTTAATTTGCTCTTATAGCATTGCAGTGTCAATTTAGAGCTGTTATGTGTATGTTATGTATTATAATATATGTCTTGTAGTTATGTACAGTGTACAGTTTGTACATTTATTCATTATATTTTTTGTCTGTTCTTTGTTGCAGACCACACACACACACACACGTTACATAATTGTAACACACCGTGAATGTGTTAATAAACCAACGACTGAGAAATATCCCCCCCCTGCCATGTGTAAATGGATCTATAGCTTTTTAACTGACAGATCTCAGAGAGTGAAAATCAATGACTGTTTTTCAGATGTGGTTTCTGTGAGCACTGGATCTCCTCAGGGATGTATTTTGAGTCCTTTACTTTTTACACTGTACACTCATGATTGTGTGTCTTCCTCAGACTCTAACCTGATCATCAAATATGCTGATGACACCACCATCATCGGTCTCATCAGTAATAACGATGAATCCTCTTATAGAGCCGAGATCCAAAATGTGGTTCAGTGGAGTAAGGCTAACAACCTCCAGCTGAACGCATCCAAAACATGCGAACTGGTCTTTGATTTCAGTCGCAATAGTTCTCATTTGCCTGTCGCAATCGATAACTCCCAAGTGCAGATTGTAGAGGAGTGTAAGTTTCTGGGTCTAACTCTGTCTGATGACCTGAAATGGGTTAAAAACACTGACCGAGTCGTAAAGAAAGCTCGTCAGCGTCTCTACTTCCTGCGGAAACTTAGAGAATTTACCACTAACTCTAAGATTCTGCTGAACTTTTATCGCTGCACCATTGAGAGTTTGCTTGTTGGTTCTGTGTCTGTGTGGTTCGGTAACATCACAGATAAAGAAAAGAGAGCTTTAAACAAGGTGCTCCGCTCTGCAGAGAGGACCGTGGGCTGCGAGCTTCCTGTTCTGGAGGTTCTTTATCAATCCAGACTTTTTAACAGTGCCCTGAGAATTATCAGAGACTCTTCTGGCCACCCAGGAAAAGCCTTGTTCCAGCTTCTTCCCTCTGGCAGAAGATACTGTTCTCTGAGATGCAGGACATCTCGTCATGCTAACAGTTTTTTTCCACGAGCTGTTAACAGTTTGAATAGAGCACTTTAATGTTTTGCACTCGTATAGATCTGTTTTAAGTTGTTCAACTTCACGGTGACATTTGTTGTGACATTTGTTTACTGTTTTTAAAATTTGTTTTATTTTTGTCTTTTAATGTTGTTTTGTGTCTGTACTTGTCCTGTGCACACGGGGAACTTTTACAAATGTATTCCAATGTGGTGTATACATACTGCAAATGGCGAATAAATGAATCTGAATCTGAATCTGAATCTCTGGACCCTGATTCTCTGACCGGAATCTTTCCATACTGTTACCGCCTCAACCAGTGTATATCCCTTAGTGGGCCAGTTAAAATATTGAGCCTCCACTTCAAAGAACATCTCTCAAAAATCTCTTCTTGTAATTCCTGTAATAGTAATGGTTTCTGCTGAAATACTGAAAAAGTGTGACAGAAGGCCAAAAACGTTCTTTTAATAATCAGAAGATAAATCATGTTTTTCATGTATCCATTTAAATCTTCAGTTCATTAGTAGTTGCTAAAAGATATACATTTGTCAAGTTTCCTTAAGTGGCTCTATTTATTTTTGTAACGGACGTAATGCCTTTGATGGAATGAGTTATGCGGAAGTTTGTAACACATTCTCAGATGTCCACATTTGATTAAGAGATTCTATTTATTTTTTTATCACAGAATAGAAACAAAAGTGATTACTTTCATACAGTAACTAATTAAATGTGACCTTTTTTCTCAAGGAAACAATCATTTACATCAGTTACACATTTTCAAGGGTCATTCAATTTGTATTTTTTTTTTCAATGATTCCTTTTTAAATCAAGTGATTTACTTATGTTGTGTTAGCATGTTAATCTTGTCGGAGTTCATCTGCCGCTTTGTCACACTGATGGCCTTTTATTTTCAATGTAACTGGCGTCACTGTAGAATTATCCAATCAGAGGCTGATCTGGTTGTTTAAAATGTCACCAAAAAGGTATTTTTCAATTGTTCCTTTTGATTTTATCCACCCTATCTCTTTGATATGTCTATGTTTGAAATTTGCATTCCAAAACAATTTAGTTTACTGTTTAGTAAACTAAATGTACTAAATAGTAAATTTAGTTTGTGAGTTATAACTCTTTAAAGTCCAGAAACTATAATTAACACTGTGAACACACCCATGATCTTGCAACTCGACTCTTGTCTCCACGGGTATATGTAATCTAACTTCTTGGGACTTTCCCCCCTGGTGACTTCTAACTGCTCTTACCTTTCTCTCTTTTGTTATAAGCCCGGACCATGACGTCACCCTTCAGAGCGCCCATGGGTGACGGGGCGGAGTTTGCGCGCGCTCTTAGCCAATGAGCATGGAGCCGTGGAGAGAAAGAGGGCGGGTGAGAGAGAGCCAGAGAGAGAGTGCGGCGAGAATCTGTTCGGGCAGCGAAGTCCTACTCTCCACACTGGGGCTGTAAATGCACGGACCTCCACGCGAGCTGCAGCAAATGGCCTGGTAAAAGTAAAACTCGCCAAAAAGGGATTATATTCTCACATACGCGCAAGGACCGAGGACACGGAGGTGAAATGAAATATAAGGTGAGAAAAGCGCTTTTGGTCTTCATCCGCTTGAAGTGTGACGCGTTTGGTCTTTTTACGCAAGTTTTCCGCGTTTTCGTGACTGCGTCGGGTACGTGATTTTTAACAACACATGAAAAGGCCCGAGTTTTTACTTTCCTGTATGAAAGCGATGAGACGTGAGAGGCCAAAAACACATGCATGTGAGAACTAGTTATCAAAGCAAACTAATTTAGAGCCAGGGAAATGGCATCTCATGGTGACATGGATTTAATCACAGTTGTAGTGGTTTAAAAGTTACATACCCCAGCTTTGATGGGGTATGTATCAGTTGGTAGAGCGTTGGCCTTTGAGCCAGTGGGTCGTGGGTTCAAGCCCGAACTTCACCATCGAGTCCCACTGTCTGCTGTCGTTGTGTCCTTGGCAAGACACTTAACCTCTGGGAACACCAGCCACAGTGGGGCGGCTGCGGCTGTAAAGTGCCAAACTGCCGTTGTGTCCTTAGGCAAGACACTTCACCCCCATTGCCTAGAATGAGTCTGGTGTGTGTGAATGGTTGGTGGTCGGAGGGGCCGATGGCGCATACTGGTTGCCTCGCTTCTGTCAGTGTGCCCCAGGGTAGCTGTGGCTACAGTAGTATTTTATCACCACCGTGTATGGAGAGAATGAATAATGACATGTAAAGCGTCTTTGAGTGTCCAGAAAAGCGCTATATAACACCGATGCATTATTATTCCACATTGATGACGAATATGACGCGCAGAAGCATGCTTTTTTGGCTCTTAAATACAGTCGTCAAAACAGTTAAAAGATATGCTGTTTATTGTCAAAAATAATAAAAATATTAATTATAAAATCCAGGAGGTGTCAAATCAAAACAGCGAATCACGGTGCACAGCCAGCTCCTGAGTCCAGCGTATGTCTGTGATTTGGTCTCACTGACACCACATAGAGCGATACTGTTTTTCTTTTTTTGTCAGCAACTTAAGTCTTAGGATCATGTCAACTTGGAGAAACTGTGTTATTGGTGTAAATTTGTGAGTCACTATTTGGCCCAAAGAGGACTTTTTTCACGTAGATCTGCCTCTGTTTAAATTAACCTGTTAATCTGCGACACTTCACTAAAGCCTAGCGTACATCGACAGAGAAACTGGGGACAACTAGTTGCAAGGCGGCTTTTGGCAACTGAGAGGAGATGGTGGGAGATGATCAGTTGCCGAAATCGGTCGATGTGCGCGCTCTTACAACTGGAGATGATCAGTCGGTCTCCAGTTCCAGTCAGTTGCCCGTGTTCTACTTTTCGGCAACTAGTTGTCCTCAGTTGCTCCGATGTGCGCGCTCCATGCGCCGCTCCGACAACGTGTGTGTATTGCGTGTATAGCGCGCCCGCAACAGTTTATGTCAGAAAACACACTGTAGTTGAGGCCAGTTGCTGTCGATGTACGCGCTGTTATTCAAGAGACTGGCCTGCGACTCAGAGTTGCCCGTTTTCGCCAGATTGTCGATGTGTGCGGGGCAGCAACTCAGAGGCGACGGATATAATCAGTTGCCAGTCCGATGTACGCTAGGCTTAAGACTGTTCCAGAACTACAGGGACAATCGAACTGGACTCAAAAGCTGATCTGGAAACCAGTGTTATTCCCACGATAAACAATGCTAACACGAAACCTCGATCTGTAAGTAAAGTGCTACTAACTCGCCGTATATTTCTGTAAACTAAATAATTAGGGTCTGATTCTGGATCGAGGACATAGGGATCGATGTTACGGATTGTCATTGTATCGGAGATACACTTTTTTCTACATAGTCATTTCAGACCTGTGAATAAACAACTCGCAGCGCGCGGCTACGTCACTGTGCAGGCGGGGGGAGGCGGGCTCACAGGCAGACGAGCAGACTGCTCTCTGGATCCGCCTGTTTGAGTTGAAGTGACATCACCTCTATGCAAGAGATGGCTATAGTCTTGTATGGTGTATAATGTTGTATGGTGTATCACTCAAATTATTATCACACATGTGCAGAGGATGGACTGTGAAACATGAAGAAAAGCGTAATATGGAACCTTTATTGTCATGGCGGCCCCCACTGAGTGTCTGCTAATATGGCATGTTATATATCGCTTGAAAGATAATCTTATCAAGAAAACAACCATAAATATTGAACCTTGATAATAAGAATAAGAAATATTCTTAGAAATAAGACAATAAGAAATAATAACAGGTAAACATTATTAAACCCAGTCTACAATACAATACTCAAATGTCCTATATTGTGCTCTTCATTTTTCACAGTCCATCCAAATTGTGATTATAATTTGGGTGATACACCATACAAAACTTTATAGGCATGTCTTGAATAGGAGTGATGTCACCTTACTCTGCCCCTCTGCCTCTCTGGCTGTGAGCCTGCCTCGATCCGCCCGCGCGGTGACGTAGCCTCAGCCTCAGCCACGCTGAGTTGTTTATCTCTAAAGCAAACTCTTCTGCTTCGCCGGTTCATAGTCATTTCAGACCTTAGAATAAACTTTTTCCAACAATGGCAATCCGTCATATAGAGCCCTATGTCCTAGGTCCAGCATCAAAACCTAATTATTTAGTTAACAGAAAATATACGGCGAGCACTGTACTTACAGATTGGGGGCGTCTTTGATCGTGGGAATAACACAGGTTTCCATCCCATTTTGAGAAAGAGACCTGCTTCGAACAGGCTGTAGATCCAGGACTCAGGCTATAGAACAAGGACTCAGACTGTAGATCCAGGACTCAGACTGTAGAACCAGGACTGAAGAGGCTCCAAGGAGGAGCCATGAAACAGACGATTGGACAGTGGGTGAATAGCCATGAACAGACTTATATTATATATGATATGATATATTTATATAATATATTTATATTATATGACATAGTATTGGCTTGTCTAAAGCAGTAGTAATAATGTGTTACTGCAGCGTGGCCCCCAGAGCTGGTGGCTCGTGTCTTTTTAATGTGAAGAAGGAAAAGGCAAATTACAGTTGGAATGCTGCTTTTGAAAATGAACATATTGATATGTACCACTCTATTGATTATATTTTTTTTTCTTCATTATTGATATTGCAATGTTATCAATACTTTCCAATTTTGAGGATGCAAAGAAGATAATTTTTATTTGTTTGTACATGTTTTCTGTCCCGTAGGCCTAAGGGCCTAACAGCAGTGCAGAGAACCTGGCCTTCTTGGAGTCCCTGGGAGGGGTACTAGATGGTGCGCCGACCGGGGACTCAGTTTTTCTCCTGGTGGACTTCAACATATTGAGCGATCTGTTAGAGATCGCTCAATATGTCAATATTGTCACCCGTGCATAATGTCACCCGTTTATGCATTTGCGTGTAGACAGAGATAACCAGAGTTTTGCGTTTTTGCACGCCACAGTATGCCCCCAAAACAACAACAAACAAAACGTGCGACCTCTGATCACTGAAGCATGGATCTTACTGCCTTAAGAACTGTTATCGCAGCAGCGAACATCCTCCACATCAGAGAACAGCAAAGTGATCACGGAGACTCACGCTCAAACACAACCAAAACAGGAGCTAAAGCAGGATCCTGGCTGGCTGGGGGTCGGTTGGTGAGGAGTCACTGCCGTCTCCAACAGGCCCACTTTACACCCTTGCCTTTTATCGGACTACACTACATAGGGTTACTGCCTACTCCGTAAAAAAAAAAAAACAATGAGCCTCATTCACGAACGGTTCTTAAGAACAAATTTGTGCGTAAATCCTACTTACGAGGATTTTACGAAAATTGTGGCATTCATGAAATTTTCTCGTAACAAGAATTTATCTTGGGTAAGTACAAATCCTATGAGTCCTCAGGAGCACTCTTACACACATCCAGTGCCGACACGTTCACACGCTGGTGTTCACACAACATTAGAGATATGTCATATATTAATGTATGTATTTATTTATTTCATTGTTTATGGTAAATTAACCTACTTTTAATTACATTTTAAATTAAATGTGCCAACGCTTAATAAAATACATTGAAAGTCATGCCGTGTATTAGTGACCCCTTCCTATTTATAGGGGACAATTCTCCATCCACAGGCCACAAAGCAATGGCATATATAGTGCTGCTGCAGGAGGTTGCAGGGTCCGCGCTGACCCTCTGGTCTCTCCCATGGATCTACACAGGTCCGCGCTGGTCTCTCCCATGGATCCATACGGGTCTGCGCTGGTCTCTCCAGTCTATGCGGTCTCTCCTCGGTCCGCACTGGTCTCTGCGCGCTGGTCTTTCCAGTCTACGGTCTCTCCTCAGTCCCCACTGGTGTCTGTGTGCTGGTCTTTCCAGTCTATGGTTTCTCCTCGGGTCTGCATTGGTCTCAGCACTGGTCCACGCTGGATCTCCTCCCAGGGTCCAAAATATTTTGAGATTAATCTTAATATATAACATTTTTAAATCTCATAACATTTTGAGATTAAGCTCATAATATTTTTAGATTAATCTCATAATTTTTCTAGTTTGACTTTATTCTCATAATATTTCGACTTTAAAGTCAACATTTTATGACTCTTTGCTGTTGCTGTTTCCTCTGGCGTCTGCACACGGCCCTGCAGACGCCAGGGCCTTTTATGGGCATTAGTGGGCGGTTATCTATGCTAAGTACCTATGCTAATGAATCACCTGGCACGCGCGCTCTACTTACGAGGAGTTGGCATTCATCAATTTAAGAGAACAGCTGCAAACAATTCAGTCCAATCCCACGTAGGGTCTTCTTAAGAATCTTCTTAGATTTCTTCTTAAATCGTTCTTAAG